CAAGGCATCGGGGACAGAGCTGCTGATGGAATCAGGATGCGAAGCTCACATGAGGATGGGGTGTGGGGGTGGGCAGGGCACTGAGGGGCTTCCTCATGTGGCTGGGCCAGAGTGGGTGGTTGGGACAGGTAGAAAGCTGCCCTGTACCCACACTGTGCTACAATTCCCACCAGGTTAGTCCCTGAGAAGCTGACCCCTCCATGAGCCATGGGGCCGCTGGGGCGAGAGGTGCTGCCGGGGAGCGCCCTTCCCTGAGGAGCTGCAGTTTCGAGGCTACAGATGGAGAGGGGTCCCTATGCAGTATCTGCAGGGGGGCAGTACTGGGTAGAGGGCAGGGGCCACCCATTGTCGTGTGTGTGAAGCTGAGCAGTGGCTCACTCTCCATTCAGAGCTGTTGCCTAAGCAGCCCACAGAGGACACATAGTGGGTGGATGGAAGGATGAATGGATGGAGCAAGGGACAGCGACAGAACATGCGGGAAAGATTGGTCAGAGGGGCACTGGGTGGTCCTCCCACATCTGTGCCTCCTCCTGCCGCCCCCTAACAATGGTCACCCCACCCTCTCAGCCATCCAAGCCAGAAGGCTGGACCTCAACTTCCCTCCTCCCCTCCCCCTGCGACATGCAGTCAGCCACCAAGCCCTGTGCATCCCACTATTTCCTTGGCCCAGATTCTCATCAGCCCTTCCCTGGACTGCTGAAAGTCCTCCTCCTTGTGGGTCTCCCTGCCCTGGCCTTTCTCTCCCTGCTTACCAGCCACCCCTCCCAGAGCCACTCTGCCGTGGAATGGCCTCACATCCTCCACTGGCTCCTGCAACTCAGACCAGAGAAGGGCCTGTGATGGCTCTGTAATGCAACTGGGCTAGGCTGGAGGATGCCTCCCAACACTCCTTTTCTTGTATGTTTCCCCTCAGGCTTGGCCTCAGGGAGATTCTAGGGAGATCTGGGAGACAAGGGAAGCAGTGGCCACTGCAGCACACAGAAACTGTTGCTCATCGGTTGGTTCGCCTCATCAGCTTGAAGCAGAAGCTGGGCCTGCCCTTGCCCCACCTTCCCATGGGACCTCCCTCAGTGTCTCTGACTGCTGGGCCAGGGGGTGTGTGTGTGTGTGTGTTGTGTGTGTGTGAGAGAGAGAGAGAGAGAGAGACAGACAGACAGACAGACAGACAGACAGAGAGACAGAGAGAGAGACAGAGAGACAGAGAGATTAGCTCTGGAATGAAGGGCCTGTTTTCTGCGGGATTACTTTGTACCATGAAAAACAACCATCCTGCTCCCCAGCTGGAATCCTGGACATCCTCTGCATGTCCCTTGTCCAGCACTGCCGAGCACCGTCCATCTCTTCTCTGTGATATCTCTTCAACCTGCTGTCCCCATGATATTCTTACTGAATATATGCAGTAAGACCTCAAGTTTCAGTCCTCAGGAAGGCCACCTGACTCCCATTAGTCCCCTCTGCATGCTATTCATTCATTTGACAGTTATGAAACCTGTACTACCCATCAGGCATCATTCTAGGCACTGTACGGACAGCTCTAAGCTTAACCTTTCCCTTCCCCTCCTTATTCTAAGTGGTGCTTGAATAGTGACCAAAGGGATGGTGGCAATGAAGCCTGCAGGGTGAAGCCTATAGATTCATAGAAGAGGTGAAGCAGATAATGCCTGAAATAAATACATAGGAAGCACGACTTCCACTGATGTCTGAGTGACGAGTCAGCAAATCCCCCTCCTAATAGCACTAGAAATCTGGACAAAACTGACAAAAAACATTTCTATACTCTAGAACTTGGCCAAAGATATGCAATGATCTCAACAGCAATTACGCTTGAAAAACTGCTGCCTTTTGGTAAGAACAGTGGGGGTCTGCAGTGTTCTTGCCTGGGGTGTCTCTAATCCCAAGGTCGCCAGTTTGGTCCTCACAGAAGTTTTCCAGGGTGAGGCACATCATGGGGACCAGCAACTTTGCTGAAAAAGTCACAGAGGCTCATTCAACTTTGGGTGGCAGGGGACGCTCATACCCAGCAGCACTGTGAGTGGAGCGGACAATCCAGGCAGCAGGTGAAATCAGAGAGCTAATGCCCTGTCCAAGGCTGCACGCAGATGCAGTGGAGGCTGGAGAGGGCTCAGGGCACCACACACTCCCGACTCTGGGCACGTGCAGAGGGGCTCAGCAGGAAGTAAAGACAAGGGCAAACTTGAAACTAAACAGTTCTGAGAACATTTCCCTGGCCCACACAAACCTACTGGCAAAGAATGGAAACTTTACTAGTTCAACATCTGGACATAGCAACTGTCTGTCCAATAATAGGCTCTTTACTGAATCATACAGAAAGACAGTTGATTCCTAGGAAGCCAGGCTTAAAAACAAAAGGAAGACCACAAAACAAATATAAGCAGATATTAGTGGTTGCATACTGTGGTAGCGGTGAGGGTGGGGGGGACAGATTTAACAGATTCAGCCCATGGTATAAGACGGAAGTCTGTGTTCCTGGTGCTGACGAGTCAAGGATGTCGGAGATGATGTGAAGGGTGGTGGGTTGGAAGGTGGGGTGACATGAGAATCCATGGGATGTTTTGAGTAACAGATCTCATCATATTTAGGTTTTAAGAGCCTTGTTCCTGCTCCAGTAATGAGAAGAGGTGGATGGGCCGTGGGTAAAATCAAACAGACCAGTGAGGAAGCCTTTGTAGGACTCCAGGTAAGAGCTGACGTTACACCCTGATGCCGTGTCATTCTGCCTATAAACAATTCTGGTCTGATCAGTCCTATGCTTAGAACTTTCAATAGCTCGCTACTCCCCATGAGAAAGAGTCCAAGTTTCTCAAGATGTCATCAACCTGCCCTTCATCTTGCGACCCACCACTGCCCTTCCTGTGACTTCAATTCCTCTGTTTTTGAGTCTCCTAGTCTCCTAGGACATACTGTTGCCTCCCTACCTGGGTCTCCTCCCATCCCTGCCATCACAGTAGGGAGGGGAGAGAGTGTGCTTTGTAGAAAGGCCAAGTGAGCAAAGCCACAGAGTTGGGGAGGCACAGTAGAGGGCTGGGGTGGGGGGTGCCCATTCTAAGCTGCCCCATGGGCTTACCCCTGAAGATTAGCTTGTGAGTCAAAGAGCTGGGGATATGTAGGAATGGCTGGATTCAGAGCAACCTTCTTCTTTCTGACTTCTCAGGTCCCATAAGGGCAGAGACCACCATCTTTCTTTCCACTGTGATTCAGATACACAGTGGCTACTCATGATGGGGGTACCACGGGTCCTTGGCAGAGAACGAGGCAGGTAAATGAGCAGGAATTTGGAAGCTGGTGAGAAAACAGGCTGTAACTGGCCCAAACGGTCAGGAGAGTGCCATAGAAGAAGCTAACAAGTGATGTGGCCAAGGGGCTGCCATGGCTAGGTGGGAGCTTTAGCACGGGGCCCTGGAGGAGAGACCAAGGCCCACACAGCCTGGCCTCTGACTTTCTGCTCCATGGTAGGCCCTTGACACAGCCACACTGTGAGCAAAGCAAAGAACTGAGGTACAGCAGCACAATTTAACCCCAAAGAATCTTCCATTTGCCCCAATTCCCTGAAAATTATAATTTAAAACAAGCTCAAGTTCACTACTAATCCAGAATGTATAGGGAGGGAAGGAGAGACAGACAGAGAGAGAGAGAGAGAGAGAAACTGAGAGGGAGAAAGCAAGAGACAGAAGGGCCCGCCTGGACAGCCCAGGGTTGCAGAGGAGACAGAAGACACTTCAGTGCTGGCTGAGTGTCCTCCCCTCCCAAAGCCTTCCATGGATGGCAGTGCTCGGCCTTTTTGACAAAGCTGCCAAACTTTTTGTGGTGAGACATTGATTCAAACATTAATTCAGTCTAAAGGAAGGAAGTACTGATGCATGCTACCATGTGGACGAGCCTCAGAAACATTATTCTAAGTCAAAGAAGCCAACATACACAAAAAACCCCATGTTGTATAATTCTATTTATATGACGTATCCAGAATAGGTAAATCCACAGAGACAGAAAGCAGATTAGTGGTTGCCAGAGCCAGGGGAGGTGGGAAGCAACTGCTTGGTGGGTACAGAGTTTTCTTTTGGGGGTGATGAAAATGTTTTTGAAACTAGACAAACGGGGTAGTTGCATGGTGTTGTGAATGCAAGAATTGACCCTGGATTAACTGTTCACTTTAACCTGGTTAATTTTATGTGTTAATTATGTGTTTTTATGTGTAAATTTATGTGTTAATAAATTAACCTGGTTAATTTATGAATATCACTGCAGTGAAAATTAATTCAACTAAATTGTTTAAATTCAGGTATCACCTGCAATATTTAATTTGTCCTTTTCTTGAAGCATTAGCATCTGTACTCAAAAGTCTGAGGACGTCTGCTACACCATGGAAGTCTGGTGGCTGGAACCTTTCACAAAAGGAAGTGACTTTTTCTTTCAAATCAGATGATACTATAAACCCAGCTGAGAGGAAAAATATCTGAAGATTTTACAGGTCTCCCCCACAATGCAATAGTACTGAACAGAAATAAAGGTTAATTTCAGCTGCTCCCCACCTGCTATTGTAGAAAGGGAGCCAGGAAGTTAAATATCATGACGAGTATCCCACAGCACCTGTCCAGCCCAGAGTCAGACCCAGGCAACCTGGCTTTGTAAGCACAGAACTTGACTCCTCATCCCTACAAATGGGTACTCAGACCAGAGCAAAGGCTGCTGTGTGCCATTTGAGGCCTCCCCAGGCTTACTCTGGGGGTTCCTGGCCCTGGCTACACATTAGATTCACCTGGGAATTTAAAAAATATGCTGATGTCTGGGTCTCATCAGACCAATGAAACCCAAATCTCTAGTATTTAAAATTACCTGGGGATTTTTTAAAAGCTCCATCATGATTCTAGATGGTCAAGATGATTCATCATGATCAAGATGACCTTGGATGACCCTGTCCCTCAAGTTAGAAACCAAGAGCACAGGTAATCATACTTCACATAGAATAAAGTTAAAATTCTTACCCAAATATCTGGCTGCAAATGTTCTTCTCCTGCTGGATGCTGTTGGCAGCATAATGAAGCTGAACATCTATGTGCAAATCTCTCGTATATCCTTTTTATAAAGAACCAACCACATCCTCCAGCAGACAAGCTAATTCCTGTTTTCCAGTAACAAGAGATCAGCATCTATAGAAAAGAAATATATTTAGAATGCCCTTTATCGGGTGTTTTCTTGGATTTCAAACAAGAAACCTCGCTGTGAGGAATTAGTCCCTTAAATGCAAGCATACCCAGGGATCTTGGAATGCCCTTGGACAAAGTCATGGGACCTCTGGATATAAGTTCCTCAAGTCTGTGAAATGGGAACAGTAATGACAGCAACCCCTCAGGGCTGAGGGAGGGGCACGGTTGGCGGGTATAAACAGCAAAGCCCTCGGCACACTTAAGATGCTATGTTCGATCTTTCTTTCCAGTCAGCTGACCTAAATCTAAAAGGAGCCGTGTTTTCCACAGAACCTCAAAGACAGCTACAAACAATAACCAGCAGATGTGCAGTGTGACTTCCAGGAGGCTGTCTGTGACCTTCATCTGGTGTGTGTGGCAATGCTGTTAGCGGGGAGCTTAAGGACATGGTCCCCATCCCCAGTTGGAGAGGCACAGCTCCAGAGGCACCCAGTGGCAGACCCTCACCCTAGTGCACTGGCCACTCATAACATATGGCTTCTTATTCTGGAAAGTTAGCACCATTATCAAGTGATTTACAGTTGTGGAACATCCCGTTCATGAACAGCCAAGCGATGTTCATGCAGCCATCAACACCACGGATGTGGTGGCCTTGGCAATTGAAGGGAAAGGCAGCTCCTAGGGGGAGGGGTTATCCTGTTTAAATACATATGGAGTTTACAGACACAGAGGAGCCACTTCTGGGAGGACACCTACCAGAATGTTCTTCCCACCACCCCTCTTGTCTCCTTTGCTCCCTTGCATCTGCTGTAGTGAACTGGCATCATATTTGTGATCACAAAAACCAGTCACTGTCGCACAGAACAAGCATAGCCAGCACTCACTGAGTGCGGACCCCTTTGTCCCTGGCGCTGCCGGCTGCAGGAAGCTGGAGATTCAGGTTGTCACCACCACAGGAGGTGGCTGTGGGGCTGCTGGCAGCTGGGCAGCACTCAGTCAGCAGGCTGTGTTGGGGCAGCATCACCTCACCTGCTCCATGCCTCGCTATCCACAATCAGCTCCTGCTGCTGGTACTCTCTAAGCAGAGCATAGGGACAGTACACAGGAGGGGCCAAGCGTGCCTTGGGGACTGCTCTGGGGCAGCTGGGAGAGAAGAAGGCAGTGGAGTAAGAGCTGAACTGCTTGAAGGGAGCACCCAAACCCCAAACCACACATGCTGACATGCCCTTGGGCCAAAGCAAACAGTGAGCTGGCTTGCAAAGGGAAGTGGTGCAAAGTGAGAAGAGAGACGAGTCCCAAAACAGATTGGCAGAGATGAAGTCAGAGCCAAGGAGCTAGGGGAGTGGAGCAGCAAGCCTGAGAACCTGGAGTTAGGGAAATACCTTTGAGGCACTTAGGGATCCAGAATGACACTTCTCTGTATTCCCTAAGCATGCGGGACTGGGAGGGTGATGGAGGGAAATAGGGACTGAGAGGAAGAAGCCCATCTGGTGTAGTAGGGGCTTTAGAATTAGAAACTGTGGGTTGATGCCCAGGTTTTTCCTTTTCCTAATAATGTGAATTTGGACAAGCTACTGAAATAGGGTTGCCATATTTAGTAAATAAAAATACAGAATGTCCAGTTGTATTTTTAGTATAAGGGCATTCTGAACATTGCATGGGACATAATGTCTGCTATAAAGGTATTCAGTGTTGACCTGAAACTTAGATTTAATGGGTGTCCTGTATTTTATCTACCTCCTGAGTATCTATTTTATCTTTGGTCAAAAGGAGAAAATCAGGTAAGAACCTTTCAGTTGCTAGAAACAAAAAAGACAATTAAAATTGGCTTAAAACTTAAGGGGGAATTTACTGAATTTTTTAGTGGGAAAGTCTTCATAATATGGACTTCAAGTATGGCTGGATCCAGCAGCTTGCTAATATCAAATTTGTCTGTTTTTTCTCTAGTTCTCCTGTTTGCTTTCTGAAGTGTCAGCTTTATCCTCATCAAGGCTGCCTTATTATTAAAAAATGCTGGACACCAGCTTCAGGAGCTAATATCTTCTCCTTTATGACCAGCAGGAAGAAAGAGCATATCTTCTAGTGTCTCTCTCAAACCCGCTGGAAAGCTTTCTCTCCCTCCTCTCCCAAACATCTTCTCTTGCCTCAAAGCCTTGATTGGGCAACCAGTCCATCCCTGAACAATCCTGATGGCTGAAGAATGAGATGTACTGATTGGCTAAATAAACTGGTCTCATCCCAGGAGGTAGGTGGAGCTGGCTTCCACAAGGCACTTGGACTGGTAAAGGAAAGAGGTACATGGCAGAGTAGATGCCAGGGTACTGTGACCAAGGGAAGGGGAGAAGGGCTCCAAAAATACAATGCCCCCTGCAGGTTGCTCTGAGGGTCTGGCAAATGAGACTGCTTCCCAGTGTGTGTATGCATGTCTGTAACAAAGTTCGTCTTCCCCTTGCACATATTGATTGCCCTTTCTTCGCCACCCCTCATCCTTCTGGCCAGGCCTCTGACCCAGTCTCCACTCTGTGTCACAGAACAAAGAGTCCTCTCTAGGAGACAGTGAGCTGGGCCTCTGTAGTGGCTGTGCCAGCTGCCTTGGATATGTCCCTTCCCCTCACTAGTCCCCATCTACATCATGGGGGTGGGGGATGGGGTGTATGTTGCACGTGTGTGGAGGGCATGATTGTATCAGAAGGGCTGTTTGGAAGAGTGACATTCACCGACCTCAGCCTCCAGTGGGGATGACAAGGCCCTAGAGCATGGGCATCTGCTTTGGGGGAAACGTGGGTAGAAGGGCAGGTTGGTGGACTCTGCATGCCAGCTGGGGGGCAAGTAACCTCCAGGGAGAGGGGACAGGAGTACTGATCCCCAGTCACCCACCCCAGCTCTCACCTTCCCCTTACCCACCTTTCTTGGCAGTGGTGTTGAAGGGCAGGCGACACCCCAGTCAAGCTCAGCACAGGTGAGGCACTGCTCCCTGGTCTGCCAAGTAGCACTGGAGAGAGCCAGCTGGGGGATGACTCAGCCAGGAGCAGCTTTGGTTGGTACGGGTGCACAGCACACAAGCTCACCATGGGGGTGGGTGCTGGGATCGCTAGGTCCTTCTGGATTCATGCCAGGATGCTCTGCAC